CCGTCGGGGCGGTCGGCGCGGACGCAGCGGCTGCCGTTGCGGCTCCAGGCGCAGTAGGGGTCGCGGGCCAGCACGCAGTCCGTGCACGACTGGTAGCGGCTGCAGTCGGCCAGGGGCAGCTGGGCCACCTGGAAGCGGGAGCCAGCGAAGAGCAGCTTCTGCAGGAGCAGGGGGGGACGGTGACGGCGCCGCCAGCCCGACCCGTCCCCAGCGCGCCCGGCGCCGCCGCTCACCTTGCGCCCGGCCAGCACCAGGCTCTCCACGGGCTGCGCCGGCTCGAACACCTGCAGCTCCTCCACGAGGTGCACGTGCGTGCCCAGGTCGAGCGCCTTGTGCACCCAGCCGTCACCTGCGGGGCGGGCGGCGTCAGCCCGTGCGCGGCGGCTCCCGGCGCTCCCGCCGCGCGGCGCGGCGCCTACCCGTGCCGATGAAGAGCACCTCGTAGAGGGTGCCGTCCAGCGCGCGCACCCGGTCCACCACGAGCTGGGTGAAGTTGGCGTCCTTCTTGAGCAGCAGCGGGCGCCCGCGCTGCGGCAGGATGGGCTCGTCCATGAGCGGGTGCTTCTTGGCGAAGTTGAGCGTGTTGTCGGGCAGCTCCAGGGAGCTGCCGAAGCCGTTCTGCCGGTGCCAGTCCGTGATGCACTGCGGGCCGCAGGACAAGGTCACGCGGTGCTGGCACCCCCCCGGCGCCACCGCCACCTCCGGCACTCACCGCCCCGGGACGGGGGCTCGGCACCTCGTCCGAGTAGCGGCCCCACTTCTGCGCCTGCTCCCGGTACTCCTTGTAGGGCCCCTCGAAGGCCTTCTTCACCTCCAGGATGTGGTAGCGGCACACGGCCGAGACGTCCACGTCGCCCCTGCGGGGACACGGGCGGTCGGGGGGTGCGCGGGGGCCGGCGGGCGCCGCGGGCGCCGCGGGCGCTCACCAGCGCGCCCGGAAGACGCCGAAGAAGGCGGTGTCCTGCCAGCGGGCGCCGCGCAGCGTGAACACGGCCTGCAGGCGGTCGAAGTGCAGCTGCTGCTCGGGCGCCGCGCACACCAGGCGCGCCTTCAGGAACGTCGTCCACTTCTTCTGCAGCGTGCGGGCGCCGCCGACGTCGCCCTGCGCGCGGCGGGGGGCGTCAGGCCGG